TGCTTCAAGGAAAAAGACACAGATTTTAAATCTCTTGGTTAAAGATGATACTTGTCATTTCAGTAGACAAGCAGAGTTTTTCTTTTGAAGACTTGTGGATTTTTTTTTTTCCCTAAAAACTTTGGATACACAAGTATTAAATTATTTGAAAAAGGACAGCTAAGCATCTTTTATTCAAATTTTTTTCCCCTCTTAAAAACATTATGGGATCCAGCTCAGAAACAAAAAAGAATGAAGTAAGAGCTGTTAGTGTTTTTCCTAGATAAAAAGGCATACAGTTTTGAACCAGAAAAAAAATTATGAAAAAAAAAATCTTATCATATGATAAATATTGTAAGAAAACATTCATTATTACAAGAAAAAAGTATGAATGTCTGCAGCCTCAAATTTTTGTATGGTCAAAAAAAAAAATCAATGTATTCCCTTTTACATGCAAAAATTGTTAAAGTTAGCAGCAGACCATCTGTAAATTATGCAAAGTAGCCAACTATTTGATTAGGACGACTTATTCCATAGTGAGATCTTAAAGCGATCAGAATTAAATCTGTTACTTTTATTACACACACAGATGTATATTGATGGATTAATTAAAAATTCTTATTTTTTTACAGTGTAAGAAGCATTTCTGAAGAATATGATGGATCAATAGATTTAATACTTGTTTATTAAGTTTTCCAAGAAAACAGCCAACAATACTTTTCTAAAATTAGAAGGAAATAAGCTTCCAGCTAGTAGCTCCTTTGTATGTTTCTCTAACTTGCTTTTATATTTGCACATAAACAGGTAACAAGTTAGTAGCAGAAAATAGAAACCTTGTCCTGGCTATTCATCTGGTAGTTCATGGAACTTCAAAACTTAAATCTCCTTCCTCCTCCTTGTCTCATGTTTTATGATCACAGATCATATTAAAGGTTTTAACTGTTGTACAGTTTCTCCTGAACATAAGTAATTTGATTTTGTAGTATAGTTGCTCAAGTTACTTGAACTACAACTTTAGATTTTTTAATATTTTAGTTTAAAACATCCTCTTGATGATAATAAATTTTCCTGCCTGTGGAATAATCCCCCACAGAAAGATACACATATGAAAAAAAATTGTCTGCACACAGATCTCAAGTCTTCATTCAAGGATCAGCAGCAACTAAGCTACCAAAGCAACTGGGATCGCCATGTTTGGATGAGTTTGTCACATGTATGATGTTGAGGAGACGGTTATTCACAGAAAAGTTAGCATAACAAAATTTTCTGCAGAACTGCCCATTAATGCTGAGCAATATCTATTTTGGGAGCAGATGACAGTGAAGACATTCCAGGAGAAGCCACTATGAGCTTCCTAGAAAAAGCTTCAGAGAAGCCAAGCTTCCTGAGCAACAAACATCCCAGTAGCTGATATAAACAGTTGATATAAACAAAAACTCTCAGAGAGCCAAAAATCCAGCTATTCCTAAGCCTGACTGCCCCTGTGCACATTTTAAGAATGTACACCACATTCAGACACTTATAGACCCCCCCCCCCCCAACATTTTAAACAGCATTAAAGTATGAGACAATAGCAGGTATCATTAAACTTTACAGGGGTTTTTATAGCAGATGTTGCAATTACTTCCATAATTAAGTAAATTCAGAAGTTAGAAGAACAGTACACATAAAAGAAATCCAAACACTGACAAGCGTGGACATAGAGCTGAAATTCTAAGTTGCACCGTAGGGTCTTTGCTCCTATATAAAAAGGATCTCAAACTTGAAATCATTTCTTCCTAGTTTCTTCAGGAGAAGAAACAATTACGATAATCGACCTTTTCACTCGTAACAATTAATTATACTTTTAAGAGAAAGAGAATTATGATTTTCCAAAGTGTTGCTTCCTATACTAAGCTGAGGTCCCGATTTGTCCACTTTCAAAGTAAATATTTTCTGTTCTTGCAGTAGAAAAAGATGCTCACGTCTTTAACATAAAAAGATGTTTATGTTAAAAAAGTTTCTCATAAAAAACTACCTATGTTCATCACCTGCAGTAGGAAGAAAGAAAAATTGCCAAAAGAAGCAATCAATACAAAGATTGCTGTTACGATTCTGCTAACAAGAGAGAGACAGCTGAAATGTGCAGAACATCTTACTATCTCTCATTTTCCACTGTCACAACACAGGTTGTGTTGCCATTCACACAGACTTAGATGGGCTGGAAAAATAGGCAGACGGGAACCTCATGAAGTTCAATCAAAGGAAGTGCAAAGGTCTGCACATGGGGAGGAATAAGCCCCAGCACCAGAACACACTGGCATGTAGGGAACAGGTGACCAGAAGGAAAGTAGTTTGGCAGAGAAGCACCTGGAGTCCCGGTGGACAAAAAGCTGAACATATGCCAGCAATGTGTCCTTGGGCCAACAACCTTGTGGCCTGTACTGGGAAAAGCATTGCCAGCAGGTCAAGGGAAGATCCTTCCCCTCCACTCAGCACTGGCAAGACACCCTTGGAGTGCTGGATTCACTTCTGGGCTCCCCAGTACCAGAGACAGGGATACACTGGAGTAAGTCCAGTGAGAGGCCACAACGGTTATTCAAGGGATTGCAGCATCTGACCTGTATGGAGAGGCTGAGAGAGCTGGGACCGTTCAGCCTGGAGAAGGGAAGGCTCCAGAGCAATCTTATCAATGTATATAAATACCCAGTGGGAGGGAATGAAGAAGGTGGAGCAAGATCCTTCTCAGTGGTGCCTATTGGAAGGACAGGAGGCAACGGGCACAAACTGAAGCACAGGCAATCCCATTTAAATATAAGAAATTTTGTTTTACAGTGAGGGTAAAACAGTGGAATAGGTTTTCCAGGGAAGCTGTGGAGCCTCCATCCTTGGAGGTGCTCAAAACCTGACTGGACACTTTCCCAAATCAACCTGCTCTAGGTGACCCTTCTTTGAGCAGGGGATTGGACTAGGCAATCTCCAGAGATGCCTTCCAACCTCAGCTATTCGGTGATTCTGTGAAAATCTTAGCTGGTATTCTGACATGATCCTGTCCTTTTCAAGCATTATAAATCTTTCATACTTTCCGATATTCTATATTTTGACCTTTCTAAAGATGGCATTTTATTCCTTGGCCTCAGAATTTATGTTTACAATTTGTACAATTACTAAAATTGTACTTACAATTTTAAACAATTTGTTTTAGAAAACAAGCACTACAAAGAAGTAGTCTCAGCA